GACCGAATATTCGACACAAGATCTCCGTCTGGAAGCAACTGTAGAGTTTACCCCACAAAATAACGTAACAAACACGATGATGCTATGTGTCCTTATCACTGTTCTTCTACGTATTACAACAGGGCTGTATTGAATTTTCTCTTTTTGAATATTCGACACAAGATCTTCGTCTGCAAAGTGTACAGTTTACCCCACAAAATAACACCACAGACACGATGATCCTATGTGTCTTTATCACTGTCTTTCTACGTTTTCCGACAGGGCTGCATTGTATTTATTCTTTGCCTGCAGCTTGTGGCATATGCCCTAGTCCTAACCAATGTTCCCTCTAAGCTGCGCAGTAGTTTTGAACCTGTCGGGCATAAAATACATATATCCTTGTATAAGACTTTGAGAATACTTTGAGAATTTGTAAAATACATATAGTCTTGTATAAGACTTTGAGAATACCAAGCACGTAAAAACACCTTGCACACTAGCTATTTCCCATTAAGATAGAACGTTAGGTCCTAACATTGGGAAGTATAATAACCCAACACCCCGTGTCCACAACCCTGAGTGATTCTGTATGAGAATAGAATGTCAATTCGTCACAGTACCAAGTGTTATAGTATTCCCATGGACAAGACACCAGACGTAACATTAACTCACATGTATTGTTTTGATTCCCGTGGTAACGCATTCACTGAAAGTACAAAATGTTATGACCAGATTTTAAAACTAGATACCTCATTTCCCCCCCCCCCCCCCACCGTAAACCCCCCCCCCCTCATTTCAATTGTAGTTGTTCCTGTGTTTATTTGTTTATTTAGCATACCCACTAAATCCAATTACCCGTTTTTCTCAATGAATCAACCCTTTCAAATACAAACGTCGGTCAACTACCATTTCTGCTCCATCCGCAAAGTTTCAAGTCGTTTAAAAAACAACCCTGACGTTGCAGGCTAAACTTGCCCCAAGCCGTTGACATTTTAAAATGGGACGGCCAATCAAAACGTGGCATTTCACATTTTGAATAATTGATGATTTAATTAAGGCTTTTTCGTTGTTGTTGTTTTTTTCGGTGGAGCTACAAGGCCATTTAAAGTTCGGGTTAAACTAGAGGGTTTTTTTTATACAAACGTTGGCAAAAATGTCCTGGAAAGTAAGTTTAGTGGTATAGAGAGTAAAAGAATAACATAATATCTCTAAATTACTATTAATTATCACGTCGATGGGTGAATGCATTTGAAAACGGATCAAATTTTCTAATGAAAGTAAATTTGCTTTTAAGTGAAGAAATGCCTTTAACAGTGCAGGGTTGTTCAGTTCTCATTTAAAGAATTAATTTAAGAATGGCTTAACAATCCTCTCTCCTAAAAAACGGGACCTCTCTGAAAGAAATACTTTTAGAAACGTTAACACTACTACAGCCTGACAAGCTTAGCTGTTGGGGCGTGTGGTGTTTAGCGCCCTGTCTTATCGCCCTGTTACCACCACGTTACTCTACGTTACCACGACATTACCACCACGTTACCACATTACCACCACGTTACCACATTACCACCACATTACCACCAAGTTACCAACATTACCAATACACAGCGCCTAAACCACTTTCTCCCGAGTAAGATCCCACATCGACAGCTGGGCTAATCAAATTTAGAATCGGGTAAACCCGGTCGGCCCCGTCTTCTTCAAATTGTGACACCCCGCTGACAAAGGTGTGTGACAGTTCCCGTGCCATTTTGTCACAATTTCTAAAAGTGGTGGAAGCATTGCGGTGGGGCGGGGGAGGTGTTGGGTCGCTGCCTGTGATGAGGGGAGGTAATAGTGGTGATGATTGCCTCCTTGCCCTCACCCCACCAGCCTTCAGAAGTCTGCCACTCTAAGAACAATACGAAAACTAGAAATAGAAAACGGGAAAATCCGATTAGGCAGTTAAGATATGGCCTGAGTAGTTGGACTATATCCAGTTAGGACGTAGGGAGAGGGTATGATTGTTCCATTTTAAAGTAGGGGTGACAGGATGGTGATCACATTACCCCCACAAAAGGTTGGTGGGTTGGGGCAACTCTCTAGCGTGACTATTTGGGCCTTATCCCCCAATTTGTTGCATCTATTTTTGGGTACAGCGACTCCCATCGTTTTCTCACTAGAGGAAGAATTAAGCACACAATCATCATCTTAAAATTATTATACATGTTTGGTTTAGGTGGTTAGTTAAGTAATTAAAAATTTATCTTACGAGATGATAGGTGACGGCGTGGTCGGATGGTAGACTATACGACTGCTACCCTGAAAATCTCGAGTTCGAATCCGGAGGTCGTGTCCGTTGATGGTCCCTAGTCTGATGGGTAGCTGATTCGCATTAGGGGAAATTGAGGCAGCTAGTCCTTCATAAGCCGAAGTAACTGAAATAAGCGAACTCTACTACGGCGGTTTAAAGGGTTCTTTAATTGTTAAGAGATATATCGCTACAGGCCCAAAAATATCTCAGCATTTACATATTCATTAATTACATTTTAAGACATGAACTGCTGTGTAACATAGGTGCCTTATGACTTGTGAATAGTAAGGTACCTACTTTTACAATGATTCGTAGCGGAAAATCTACCTCTAAAACACTAGAGTTTTTATCTTGTATAATAAGAATACGCCTACATTTGACCAGCTGCTGTATGAATAATACAAGCACCTACGTTTTGAAATCTAGAGATTGTCTTCTCACACTTACACAAAGTTTTTTAATTGAAAAAAAAAGCCCTTCAAATCACCGGGACCGGAGTCTAATGAAGTAAAGTCTCCCTAAGGATTGTGGCCCATGTCGTCTCTGTCCTCAAAACGTTTGGCCGTAATTGAATTTTAGACCCCCCCCCCCCCCCCACACACACACCCGCACAATTCTCTCTTCTTCGTGGTCAGTCCCTTCAGAGGCTAGGCTTATCCTCCACTTGTGACAGTCGGAAGTTGTCACATTTTAAAAAGTTTTTTTATCCTAACTGTGGTTGGTTGATATCGATACACGGTCGTGCCTTGTATCGTGTTGTGTAGACTTGCCTCTCGTGATATCTCGTCCACCGCGAGACTGGGCTGTGCGCTGTGTAATCGCTCACCACTTCCGGCCCTTATTCATGTATTCAGAGTGTCTTACACATTACATAATCGAATGGCCTTATGCGTGAATCCAGAATCTTAGAAATTACATTCAGAATCTTACATATTACATTCAGAATCTTACATATTACAATCAGAATGTCTCACATATTACGTTCAGAATGTCTTACATATTACATTCAGAATGTCTTATATATTACATTCAAAATGTCTTATATATTACATTCAAAATGTCATATATTACATTCAGAATGTCTTACTTATTACATTCAGAATGTCTTACATATTACACCCAGAATGTCATATATTACATTCAGAATTTCTTAAATATTACATCCAGAATGTGTTACATTCAGAATCTTTACATATTACATCCATAATCTCTTACATATTGCATCCAGAATGTCTTACATATTACACCCAGAATGTCTTATATATTACATTCAGAATGTCTTATATATTACATTCAGAATGTCTTATATATTACATTCAGAATGTCTTATATATTACATTCAAAATGTCTTACCTATTACATTCAGAATGTCTTACATATTACACCCAGAATGTCTTACATATTACACCCAGAATGTCTTACATATTACATTCAGAATGTCTTACATATTACATCATCGAATGATTTTTACGACCTTCACCTCCTCTTTTCTTGTTCCGGTATAGTGCACCCCCCACAATCGCCGGCATTGTCCTGCGGTTGTAACTTGTCATATTTCAGCCGTCCGGTCGTCTGCCGGCCGCATGTACGGCACGCGGTGAGGGTCAGCGTGAGGCAGAACGAGGGCTCTTATCCTGCCGGTTTTTTTTTCTAGCCTGTAGATGTAGTTCGTGTCGTATTGCTGGATCTGTGAATGAGTCGCTGTTTTTTTTTTTCATTCTGGAAACTCGTGGAATTGTTATATAATCGATGTTTGATTTTTGAGACACTTGTCTTGTAATGTGTAATGGTGTCTTGTGCCACATGTGTGGGAGGACACCACGTGTGGTTTGTGGTTACTTAAGTGGTGTAAGCACGTGTTTTATGGATCACTAGTGTTCTTTCCACTGGTCTGATGATGATTCGATAACGGGTAGAATAATAATTACGGTTTTTGACAGTATCAAACTGTACAAAGTTGACGAATGTCTTTTTAGTCAGAGTTCTCTCGCGTTTGTATGGTGGCGGTCAAAGGCGAAGCTCCGCGTTCCATGAATCGAGATTCTTATCCAACAGATTGCATCTGTCATCTGAGTTATCTGTCATCCTTGCTGGACCGCTAACTCCCAGTCTGCCATAGATCATGTACTGTTTTGTCAAGCCATCACTTTAGTGTTGCTCTGGAAGTCCCTTGTGATAGGTATATATATATATATATATATATATATATATATATATATATATATATATATATATATATATATATATATATATATATATATATATATATATATATATATATATATATAATATGGAAAGCCACTTGCGTCTTTTCTACTGTTCCAGGCGCTATTTAATATTCAGTTTTTAACTTTTATTCCTTTGTTTCTATAGATGAGTACCATACTGAATCCATCCATTGCCCCCACCATCACAAGTACCATACTAGGTCCACTGCCCCCCTCACCCACAAAGTGTTGTAGAACCGGACCATCGATTAGCATCAAGTCTTGCCTGTTGGTCCAAAGATCCCAACCACCATTGGCCGCCGGTCCCTATCTCTATTCCCCCCCCCCCCCCCCCCCACCATCATGTCCCGCTGTTAGTTTACGCGATTTCCGGTGTTGGCCAGGACACCGTCTGGACTTTATGCTAAAATAAAAAAAAACCGGTTGGCTGTTTGGCCGTGTTTTGTTCGGCCTGGTATGACTTACCCTGTGCATTTATTGTTGGCTCCGGTGGCCGTCTAAAGGTTTTCTCTACGTTACATAGGACATGAGATGCAATATGGCATAGCAACTCGCGACACATTACCTGCTTTCGCCTTATTGGTGGGTTTAATAAGTTTAATAAGTTCATATATATATATATATATATATATATATATATATATATATATATATATATATATATATATATATATATATATAGATATAGATATAGATATAGATATAGATATATATATATATATATATATATATATATAGATAGATATATATAGATATATATATATATGTCTGTAAACTCGCATTCAGACTGCCAGCTTTCAGCTTTAGGCTAGCAAAGGAAAGTCTTAGTACCGCTTGTCTGTATGTGTGTCTGTGGACCGCGACTTATTTCACTTGCGCCAGTCTTATTTTCGTACTTTCGTACTTTAAAATAATGTCTGGTTTAGATCATGTAGTGTAGTTAGACTTAGCTATGGATTGTGCAAGCTGAACTGTTTGGACATTGGGATTCAGTAGAGATGTAAGCAACTGTTCGTGTAATTAGTGTAATCGTGTAGGCGGTTATCATGTATTATTGTGATTACCTGGAGATCGCTCTCCCTATTTGCTTATGGAGGTAAAGTAGTCCTTTAAATCTTCTACAATGGTTTTATTTTAGTTCGTTTCTTATATTGTTGTTTTTTTTTAAATCGAGTGTGTTAAGTGCTTTATGCTGTATATCGGATTCTCAGAAAATGAAAAAAAAAAAACGCCTAACTTTTTAAAATGCGCTTTTTAAGCATTTTTTGATGAGCGTTTTAATTGACATGGATACTCTGTATGGCCTCAAGTGTTGAAGTTATACGGATACCTGATGGGCTATATCTGGATATAATCTCCACTCACCCTCACACACCCAGCAGTTTAGTTATTTATTTTCATTGTTACCAACCACCGTATTATTTTAACCTGATAAAACATTGCTTTGCTGTAAAATTTGACTTTAAAAAAATGGTGTCATGCCCTAAATGGTGTCCCCAGGTGCCGACTGCTCTCTACACCCCCACCCTCGGTGACGCCGCTGATACCGACATCCCTACCACAATTTCCATCCCCTACAAAATACTTAACACGCTTTAAACTTTCATAGAGTCATTTTGTTTATATTTTCAAATCAGTTTTTCAAATCTCACTACGTTTGCAGCTACTAAACACAATAGCGCTAACTAGCCGTTTTTTTAACTTAAAACATTTTCCATTATTTAATTAAAAGAAGTTTACACGGCAATATTTCTATCACATTCGTGTTTTAGCATGTCTGCAATTGACCGATTTACCACCAAAAAAACATAAATAGCAAATACAAACAAACAAAAGAATCCACATACATCAGAGAAGATAATTTCTGCCTTGGCTAATGTCATTACCTCTTTCCCACGGTCTATGCCAAGTACAATCACACAAGGTAGATGAGAGATTGTCTGAAATAGTTAAACCAACATAAAAAACAAATCAAACCATATCAACATTGAAGATTCGTAAACCAAAATTGTGTAAAGCTCGGGATTCAGCCTAATCCCTCACACAACAAAATGGCTGAGGTTGACTCGTTTGTGTGGGCGTGTTTTAATTATCTTTGACAGAATTAGGTTGTATAGAAAGAAATAACTTTTGTCGAAATGAAGCCGTGTTATTGAAAAAAATCTGTTGACTGATTGTTTTTGTTTATTTTGATGGCAGAGCTTCACCCCATCCCCCTCCCTCGTTTCGTCGAATGAATTAATTTCAGCTCTTTAGTTGTAGATTTTTAAAAGCCTAATATACTTTCCTAAAACGCTGATTAGGTTTAGGGCTGGTGTTAGAGTTATGGTTTGGAGGAGGGACGTATTTTTCGTTAGGGCTGAAGGTCAGTTTCCTATTTACACCTAGCGACCTACTGAGTTCGTATGTTTCTTGACCTTAGCATATGAAGGGATGATGTGCTAATTACTAAGCCCAGCCCCCTTTACTTGCCCAGCATGGCAGGTACCTATCATAGCTGAGTGGACTCAGGTACGTCCTAAAGTCACAAGTCCGAACCTAGATCCGAACTCGAGACCTTCGGACTAGCAGCCAAACGCTCTACCACTCGACTACGCCGTCCTGTTTAGTTATAGTTAGGGCTATGGTAATTCCAGATTTTTTAGCAAGGGCATAAACATGCCGCCTCTACTTCTTCCTGTGACATTTTTAATAACTCCCTAAGTGTGTGTCTTCGTGATGTTAACCCTATATGTTTAACATGTAAGACCTACAAGCCACTTTTAATTCTGTTAACTCCTTGTGGAGCGTAGGAGCTCAACCATACCCTTCCATTTTGTCCTGCCCATAAAGACCTACAAACGCCACGATCCAATGTTTCTCTCGTCTGTTGCAGGAAAATCTGCCGCCACTGCAAGTGTCCACCTGAAGTCCACGACATGTCCATCGGCGGGGAGGAGATGGGCGTCGGTCCCAGGAGCTCCAGCCGGGCAACACGTGACCTGAAGCGGAACTCTACGTCGGACGACGACAGTGGGTGTCCGCTGGAGGAGTTCGCCTGGGTCCCACCTGGGCTGCAGTCAGAACAGGTGAGTAGGCTGGTGTGTTTTTGTCTTCCCATCACGAGAAAATAATTTTTAGCCCTCGCCCTGAGTTTGTTGTCTCCCCCCCCCCCCCTTATCCACCTAAATTTTTTGATGCTTTTACAGAGGAGTCAACTAATTTATCCACACTCCCAAGTAAAAATTATTCCTCTGCACTCGTGATTCAGTTATTTTGTCTATCCCAAAACCAAACTCTACCTTTTATAAGTCATCTCCTTATATTCACTAACTACTAACTAATTTTCCTTAAACTTCGTGTCGTTTTTAAAAGTTCAAAAGTACATTATTTGATTTTTTTGTACATACTTATTTTATTTCGCAGTAAGTATTGATACAGGATTTTATGCAATCACTGAACAAAAATCAAACAATTAACAATCAAAACAATAAATACGATTCAATTGCGATGGAAATAACAACACCCCAATTATGTTAATTATGATACACAATAACGCAGATATTTCATCAACTCTAAAACAATATGAATAATGACAAAAGTAGTAAATCGGGTAATTATTCTAAAACTGGTAATTATATTATTACGTCTAATCAGTATTTCAAATATAAACTACCTCTTGCCCAACATGGACAAAGTAAAGCATATTTTAACAATGCAATAATTCTTTATTCGGTGACAGATCTATTCCCCAACCAATATTTTTTTTTTTTTTTTACATATTGCACAATGCATAATATTATCACACACCCCTCCTTTCCTCTTAGCAAACAGACGTATTTTTTTTTCTTTTTCCAATCTGTAGTTTCCTATTTCTATGCTCGCCTCTTTGTTTAATATTTCTGGCGGATTAATTCCCCTGTGCCTTAATTTATCAGACGAACTCGGGATTTTTTCGTCTTCTCTAAACACGACACGAACACACACACACACACACACTTACATACACACACTGAAGCACGCATACACACCTACATACACACGCACGCAAATTACACACGTCACTCACACGATTTATTTTTGTACGACGAATAAATATGTGCAATGCAAATTCTCCGAGATTAGGTATATCGATAGCGCCAAACCTCGCTTCCCCCTCTGTTATGCTTTAGCATAAGATACGAATTGGATTTTTTTTTTCATCGTTCAATGCACCTCTTGATTGACAATATACCAAATCTTAGTATGGTTTAAACATTGGAAATATTAATATTTAGGGCAACATACAAGCGAATTTACGTGGTCATTAAAAACACTGACCCAGAGAAAAAAGAATGTGTTCAACACTGCGTGTTTTTTAATGCTTTTAAAAAGGACACTTTTCTCAACACACTGGGAATACATGCCCAGACAGTGCTAGACATGTACACATGCAAAACATACCAAGTCGTACTGTTATATACACATACATGCACATTTTCATACATTTACACACGGGTTCTCATTCACGCACACATACGTCCACTTAGTCACACGCACCCAATAAGATAGACATACACATACGTGCTTATACACATACTCTTGTCACATTTACGCACACCTACCAAGTTTTTTTTCACTCAACACTGTTTAAAACAAAAAAAACAAAGGCTTAACCACAAGTTAAAAAATAACTTTTTTTATCTTAATGAGAGAAAACATGTGTGATTGTGGGGGGGGGGGGGGGTTAAATTAATAGCAGAGGGGGAAATATGCACTAGCATCTATTTCAAAGGGACCGTAAATTGTGGAGATAACTTTAAAAAAATAATAACGGGCAGGTGCGCTGTGGTTAAATAATTACACGGGGCTAATTACAATAAAGATGTTGATTAACGAGGTGTTATCTTTAGGTCGGCCAATAAAAAATCTAATTGGCTAATTAGCTTTTGATCGGACTTTCTATTGCATGAACCGGCCAGCCGGTTCCGGCTTGTATGACCAGACAGAGGGGCGGGCCGGCTTAATACGTTATGCGATGTATATTTTTCACAATGTCGAGGAAACTGGTGGTTATTAGGTACTTCCTTTTTTACGTTTATTTTGAGTATATTTTGATAAAGCGATAACGTTTTAAATAAACATAATTTACATTTATATTCAGCCTTGGATTTTTTTTTAACGGTCGCTTCTGAGACAAGTTAATGCGAGTGTATTTGTTTATTTTTAATGAAAAAAAAATGTGTTCATGTGGTTCCCAGAAAAAAACAAATCTGGTGTTATATAATAAACACGCGTGCCAGTGGTTACATCAACAATTTAACGCCACAGTTTCCGTTTCATTAGACGGGTGTACCTTGATACACCCACGCCTTGCTGTGGCTGGTTGGCGAGTCACTCGGCTGGGGGTGGGGGATTTGGTGGGGGTGGTTGATTTAGTCATAGGCTGAGTTATTAGGGTATTGTTTAAAATGTGGCACTGCTCAAATAGCACCGCCCTTCGTTCTAACGTGTGCACAGTATCAGCGATAAGAAATGTCGAAGCTATAACAAATGTCAAACCAATGCCTAATGTTAAACCAGTAACTAAAGTTAAACCATTAACAGATGTTAAACCAGTAACATGTTAAAGCAATAACTGAAGTTTAACCAAAAACAGATGTGAAACCATTAAAGTTAAACCAATAACACATTAAACCAGTAAATAAAGTTAAACTAGTAACTAAAGTTAAGCCAAGAACTAAAGTTAAACCAACAACTGAAGTTAAACCAATGTTGAATGTGATCTGATATAATGTCGGCTGAAAGTGTTGACTACGGTTAGAGGAAGTTGGTTCAGTACACGTAGATGCCGACAGGGTTATAGAAAAACTCGCTTGCTCAAGGTGTTCGAAAGTCTCTTGGATTTTTTGGCATTTTTAAGGTTTCAGCCATCAAAGACGTTTTTGAAGATAATTCGGTTGGGTTTTAAAAAATTAAAAATGAATCGTCGGATTTGTTCAACTCCCTTAATTAACAATGCACAAACTCCAATCAGACAATAATTGCACTGGAAACCTTGTATCTAATCTACAATAACTAAAATTCACTAACTATATAGAACTAGTCACTTTACACTATCTACCCACAATAAAAAAATATGCACTTTTGAGATTTTTTATCAAATTAGGAATGTACTCGAATTAGGAAGCTACCCGCACTGAAAATAGAACATACACTGAGATCTATCACATCAACCGCTATTTAAAATTTTCTACCTGATTAAAAAACATTTAAAAAATAAAGAGTGACTAATTTTCGGCCGTCGGTTTTAATTTCATCCCCCCATTTATTGAGCGCGTAGTAAAATATTCCAAAGCCGCCCTTGGTCGGGCTATTAAACTGGAGATTTGCCATAACCTGGCAATGTGTTTGCCCGCGGAGAAAACCAACAGCTGGGTTTGTTTTCTCAAAAACCTGGCCAATGTTTGTATGTTTGGCCAGTGTTTGGCCAACCCTCGAGAAAGAAAGCCTCAAGAGTTAGCCAAGGCGCAGTCTTTGATTGAAAGCGATATGGTCATTCACCGACGCAGGAAGCGAAAGCTGCAATAGGAAACTTCTAGGGATTATAAATTATTTATTTGAACTGATACGGTAATATCAGTTGTTTTTTTTTAGCCGGTAGTTGTTTTGTAGAATTTTCTGAAACAAAAAACTGTGGAGCGCTAGTCGCTTAAATTTTAAGCTAGGAAAATATTATTCTCACAATACACATTCTAAAACATAATTTCACATTTTTTTAAATGTTGAGCATTCAGATAATGCTAATCTGATTTAAAGACTGTTCCAACTCGACTTTTAAAAAAAAAATTGTTCGCAATGTTTTGAAGTTATGTTTTCCTTAACATATCTGTATTAAGGAATTGGTGAAATTAAACTGTTGTGTAATAATGGTTAGATATATACAGCTACGAAATTGTTTAACCATCATACTTTGGTGGATTTTGAACACAACGGTGTACACATCTCGAGAGAAAACAAAATGAAGTTAAAACAGTCTGGTTCTAAGGAAGCGAATGTTGTGAAAACTTAAGACTAGAGATGAACAGAATAGATGGAATCTACTGCTGCAGTGTGTGTCTACCGGCCTGAATGGATACTTTACCGTAGATCCCAGAGAATTATGCCAAGTAGTTTCAGGACGGATGGTTTCGGCTGACAAAGCGAGTTTAAGAAATATTTTGTAGCCTTGCTTGTCCATGTAAGGCTGAACAATCAAATGTTGAATACATTAGTTTTTCTGATTTTTAAATAGTGCAATCAGATGATGTCACCCAATGTTAGCCGATGTCAGTTGATTTTGTTAGATGTCAGTTGATGTTAGCCGATGTCAGGCCACAGCAGTTAGACTTCACAAAAAAAAGCCATCAAGTCAAACTCAGGATCTCTATAACCAATCCGTTGCTAGGCAACCATACCCGCTCCCCCCCCCTCCATCCTCTTCCAGCGAATATCGCTCTATCAAAGAGTTACACGAAACTCTCGAGAAACTGCTCACTTACAATCGCTGATGTCAAGGTCATTGGTAGCCCTCGGTTTTGAGAGGACCAACTTGGCACTGCAATCCCTCGATTGCATCCCCTCCCCCCTCGCAGTTATAATCAGCCTTTTTTCTTGAATTCGTTGTGGGGGCGGGGGGGGGGGGTGAGGGCGGATTAATTTTTTTTATATAAAGAAACAGAGGTCCAAACGCAAGTATAAATTTGAAATATTGGCTTTTATTAAAGTGAAATGGCGAGGGTGGTGTGTATGTGTGGTAAACGGAAAAAAAGTCACAGGAAAAAAAAACACAGAAAAAAAGTCACAGTTTTTGCTAGGAAAAAAAGTCACAGAAATAAAGTCACAGAAAAAAAGTCACAAAAATCTTTTTAGAAATATTTTTATTAATTTGTTAAGAATTGTAAAATTCTGTATGTTTATTGTTGTGGGTTGTATTTTTTGATAGCGTAAATTATTTATAGACGTTAAAAGCATCATGATTTATAACAATTGTAAGTAAAAATACTCTAAGATAATTAACACACCAATCTCAACTTTTGTTACGTATTTAGTTAAATACGCAGTAGAAAAG